TTATAAAGGTTAACTACTAAAAGGCCTTTAAGGTATTAGGGCTTATTTCTACTAATATGTAGGTAGTGTTAGATTACCTTAAAGTGTAGCTGCATACCCTACTAGCAGTACCTCTACCTAAAACGCTATAGCAATCTAAGATGCTAAGCAATACACACAAGTTTAGGTCTTAATCTAAGCTTATAAGTAACTCCTTCTAATAATTACTAAGTACAGTGCAAGAGGGGTTCTTAAAGCTTATAAAAGGGGCTAAAGAGATACTGCACAAAAATATCCTTATTAAGACCTACATACAAGAGCTTAAAGAGCAATTAGCAGTAATAACTAAGAGAAAATCGCGTAAGAGAAAGCAGATTTAGCATAGTAGCACACTTAAGTATGGCCTAGCAGCATTGCAGGTAGCTGCTAAGGCGTGTGTAGCAGCTTAGCTATCTAAGAAGACTTAGGGTAGAGGTAGTTAACTAGGAGCTTAGTTAACTATTTAGCGCTGTAGGAACTGTAGCAAGACTAGACATAACGCACAAACGTGCTAGGAGGGTATAGAAACATCTTCTAAATCTAATGCAAGCACGCAGTATACTAGGTTACTATTTAATAGTAAGTAGTTGTAGTTGTAGTAACTTGTGTTAGTTGTGCTAAGAGAAAATGGCTAGTTTAGTGATATGGCCAGCTTAGTGATAATCTACGTTAAGTCAAGCCGGCTAAGCTAATGTAACCGGCTAGCTCTAGCTCTTCTTTAGCTTTAGAGTCTAGACCGTTACAACCCAGGCATCTCTAACATAGCGATAAGCTATTTCAGAGGCAAAATTTTGTACCATTTGCCTTAACGTACTCTATCACCGAGCCGGTTATATCACCGAACTAGTCACTTAAAATCCCACCAAAAAACACAGAAACCATACCCCTGCATCTTAATAACTACTTAATAGAATCTTCTAAAAACTTCAGAATAGAGCTATATCTATACTAATAAGACTGTTTAAAAGTCTTAGAGTGCTTAGCCCTATATTGCAGATGTTATTTAGAAGATACTGAAATACAGGGGTAGCTGCAGGCTATCTCAACATCTATACTAGCTATTAGTCTAAGACTTTTAAATAGTTTTATTAGTATAGATGCAGCTCTATTCTGAAGTTTTTAGAAGATTCTATTAAGTAGTTATTAAGATGCAGGGGTATGGTTTCTGTGTTTTTTGGTGGGATTTTAAGTGACTGGTTCAGTGATATGACCGGCTCGGTGATAGAGTACGTTATAGGTGGTAGCCCTTAATTAGAAAGGCCTTCTATGTATTTGCAGAGCTTGTAACGTTATTCTTGTTGTAGGCTGATCTTTTGCTGTGAGGAGCATCCTTCTTCACGCGACGCGCACACGCGTTGGTGCCGCTGCGACAGGGTGGATCGCGACAATGTGCTTTAATTAGCAATTTTGAGTAGGAGAGTTCACCAGCTGCATCTGCTGCGTCACAGGCTCCAAGTGCAGCCTCTAAATCTATGCCGTTGTTGAGTTATAGTGTGGAGGAAATTCGTAAATTATGGTGTTGGTGTGCACAAGATGAAACTGTGCACCCAACGATCGGAGTCAACCGACGATCGTTCCGAGCCTGTACGGCCATCACAAAATTAAGGCTGTAGAGCCACCTACAATAGTTATTATCGTGAGATATTTTGATGGA